TTCTGGAATGGGTCTGGATACCTCAAGCGTCACCCAAGACAATCGACAGGTCACTTACTACGTCTCTATAGTTACCAAAATAATTTATTTTTAAAGAGAAATCATTCAGTAAAAAACCTGATGAGTTCAACGATACTTATTTGTGTCAAATTTGATATAAACAGATACATTTTCATCTCACCAAGTTGTGTTTTGGCTAACCTGTGTCTTTTGCTTTTTTTTTTTCTTTACTTTTTAGATGTATTCTCACAAAATCTGCAAAAGCTGATATCGCTCTTATGCTGCTGTCACATTGTTTCCTTTCTTGCTATGTATGTCAGCATATTGAAAACTTGTGGCTCTAAACAAATTGAATTTTATGAAAGTCACATCTGTCAGATCTTCGATTTACTTGTGTCACTTGTGGTGTGCTCCTGCTCTGAAAAGTGCACATATATTGAGATCAAAGGTGGGGAATTCACAGAGTTCAACTCGGGACAAGGTGACTAACTTTTTTCACCGCATCAATGTCCCGTTTTATTTATTCACTTTGTTTTTTTTGTTGTTTTTTTCATATTTAAGGTTCAACTACCAATCTAGAAGTTCAAAATTGTTGCTCTACTGCTGCCCACAAGTGGTCAGATTAGTCAAAATAATAATAAAGTAGGTCATGCTGTCAGTTTCACTTCTGATTTTTAAACATCCTGTATGCCGAGTTGAGTAAAGCATCTGCATAGTGTGAAATGAGATTAAGTTTCATCGATTCTGTAACAATGGTACACATGTGCAACATAACGTTGGTGGCGTGGTTTGCATATTGTCACCGTTTCATTTCTAATGCACAGTAAGGTGGTGCTGGGGGGGGGGGGGGGGCTGGCTCACATAGTTTTGCCCCCAAAATATTTTTAGTATGAATTGATATAATTCCAGTTTAGAGAGAACAGAGCTTTTAATCCCTGCTTGTCAAGTACAGAAAAGATACGACAAAGATACTTCAAAAAATGTTTATTATTTTTCCTTTATAGTTTCGACCACAGTTAACACACATCCATGATGCGTCTGATGGAGCTGATTCTCATGATGTTGCTCATTCCCAGTTCGCGGAGGTTCCTGTACTCTCCTGGCCTCACGTACATCATCCTGCCTCTAAAGTTGGTCTGCTCAAACATCAGCCAGTGGCCGTCCATGACGTTGCAGGACTGGCAGTCGGACATGTAAAACCGATCTTGGAGAGACTCGCAGTCATCCATAAGTTCGTGCATCTGACCGCCGAAGTTCTCTCTTTCGTAGATCCTCATCCTGAACTGTCCCCGGTGCTGTTAAAGGAAAAGGAAAGATTTATTCTTTTCTTTCCTTGCTGGCTCGCCAATTCAGATCTCCTCCTAAAAGAGATAATACAAATATCATACCATGGGAATGATACGACAGGAGCGGATGGTGTCCATCATGGCCATACCCATCATGCCCATCATGTTTCCCATGTACTGAAAGTCAGGGTACTCTCCCCTCCTCAGGAAGATCTGGTTACCCATGAAATTGGGGCGGTCGTAGCCCACGAAGCACCCGCTCTCGACCCTGCAGGAGTTGCAGCGATTCAGGTGCATGTGGATGTCGGAGCAGTCGCTGCTGCAGTCATAGGAGCGGCCCTGGAAGCTCCTCTCCTCATAGAAAATGATCTGCAGCAAGGACACAGGAGAAAGGGTGAGACACCGCTGCTGCTTGTGCGCAGCATGATTAAGTGTTCGGACCTTTTGCAGGATTTTTTTTTTTTTTTTAACATGCAAACGGAGGACAAATCGGATATTACCCTGCCCATGGTGACGGTTTTCGTTTTTCCAAATGATGCCAACCGGCGTTGCTTTTATATCCACCATCAGCTCCAGACCACCTAGCTCACCTTTGTTTGAAACATCATGACTCATCATTAGGTTCACGTGGCCTTGCATTGATTTCTTTTTACACTACACCTCAATAGTTATTATTCTATGTTAACTGTAGCTCTGAAAGGTTACGCGAGGTCACAGAAAATCCATATTTATTTTAAGTTTTTTTTTAATGACAAAAATCCAACGCTTCCCTACTCTTCAGCTGACAAGACCTTGTTGTAGTTTTGGTCTTTTTCCAGAGGCAATACTCATCTTTATATGGGTATTTTTTTGGATAAAGAGATTAATTAAGTTGTAGAAGTTGCTGGAAGCGGGCATGAAACCCGATATTTAGCTGAGAATAAATGGATTATTGCAGATTCTGATGTACGCTAAAGTCTGCCACCCTATAATGCAGCTCTGTGCCACAATATAGAGTGATGACTCAAAGCTTTCAGCACAAGCCATGTGGAAATGCTACGGCTGTGCAATGTATAAAAAGGGAAAGGGTCGATGTTGGTGCGCTGAATCTCACAATTAGCTCACAATTATCATGACCATGGGGAGGGTAAGTGAAATTTCCCAAACATTAGATGCAAAATGACTCAGAGTGTAGATCAACTACCAGCTGATAATTTCACCTGTGTTATTATTATTATTACTTTTTTTTTTTGTAGATTATATTCTATGAGGACAGGAACTTCCAGGGTCGCTCCTATGAGACCAGCAGCGACTGCCCGGAGCTCACCTCCTACCTGAGCAGGTGTAACTCCTGCAGGGTGGAGAGTGGCCTCTTCATGGTCTACGAAAAACCCAACTTCATGGGCCTCCAGATGCTGGTGAGGAGGGGCGAGTACCCCGACAACCAGCAACTAATGGGAATAAGCACGAGTGACTGCATACGATCTTGCCGCATGATCCCCATGGTAAGTGGAGGACTTCCCAGTCAGCAGGTCAATGTTGTGGTTTAAGTCTCAATCAGACGGTTGTTTGATTTCAGTATAATTTCTCCCTCCGCAGCAACGAGGACCCTTCCGACTGAGGATCTACGAGAGGGAGAACTTCGCGGGCCAGATGCACGAGCTGGTGGACGACTGCGAGAACATGATGGACCGCTTCCGCATTTCCGAGTGCCAGTCCTGCAACGTCATGGAGGGCCACTGGCTGATGTTCGAGCAGCCCAACTACAGGGGCAGGATGCTGTACCTGAGGCCAGGAGAGTACAGGAACCTGCGGGAGATGGGGTTGAGCAGCTCCACGAGGTTCAGCTCCATCAGGCGCATCATGGACGCCTGTTAGCTCTTGAGCCTTGAATGTAGCCGGTGAAAACCAGAATAAAGCAAGCTGAAATCTTGAATGTGTTTGTACTTGTGCCTTATTCTGACCTAAACTAGATGGGGAAGGAAGAGTTTCTGCCATTTCTAGTGTATTTATGGGAACTTTTTGCACTTTTAAAGCACAAGATTTGGACAAACCCTTTCATATTTCTAAAAGTTCACATTAGCAGAACAATTATATTTAAAATGTTGATACAGTGGAACAACTAATAACGCCTAAAATGACCTATTTTAATAGGTCAAGCGTTGGATATGTCATAATATGCATTAATATGCACAGCAAAACCGTCTTGGCACTACGGCATGAGACCTACAGCTACAGTCATCCTAAGTTCCGACCTTAGGGAAACAACCAATCAGTGCCAAGGAAAATCAATGGCGCTCCTGGATTGGCTGCTTTGCAAAAACCAGCCAATAGCATGTCAAGTGGCATTGCTCCTGTGTGGCTTACATAGTTCAGCTTCCAAACTGTATTTCCTTTTGAATGTTTTACAAACGCTTTACGAAGTGATCCATGAACTGGCGAGTTTTCCGGAAATAATTTGGTGTCACGTTCCAGAGAAACATCCACGAAGAGGTCAATCTCTGAATAGACTCTGTTTTTAATCCATTAAAAACAGAGTTGTCTGTTTTTAATGGATTCTCTCAACAAATCAGTCTCAAAAGCAGACACAAGGAACACAACGAATGAGGAACTAAAGGCTGGGTAACACAATGTAATTGCTTGAATGCAGTTAAACACCTTCTGTGCAGAACGTTTTATTCAATTGTGCGCTTTAGATATCTGTGTGTGGACCATGTTGCCAAACTGTTCTGTGCAGTTGTTCATATATTGCAAACAGTTATCTCTCCCGGCTCTATGAATTAAGTCACTGATGTTGCAAGAATCCCTCATCCCAACACACAGAGGTTATGGTGCAAAATGTGTTTTTTTTGTTTGTTTTTGTTTTTTACATATTTCTGTCTTCAATTCAAGCAGCAAAAAGCGTCACCTTGAACTGCATTTTGCATATGTTGTTTTTACTTATTATTCATTTCTCTTGAATCAAACTAGTCATACACAAGTGGGATCAAAATTAACTTCAAATGGAAAATGAAACAGGCATCACCCTAAAGATAATTTGACATAATAAATGGGGGACATTTTATTTTCTAAATAATTAAGGACAAATATTGTACTATTGCAAATAAGTCCTTCTTACACTGACCAGCTTTTTGCATTTTTCCACTGATTTCTTTTGTCAATGATCTCCGAATGTTTGAAATTGGAAAGCCTCTTTGCCATCACCTTAATCTTTAGCTCTCTCCATAGAAACTCTATCAGAATCAAATCAGTATTCAGGACCTATAATAGCTACAACTTTTTAATAGTGTGGGGGGGAAAACAAGTAAAATAATATCAAGGCTACTAAAAACTGTAATAAAAAAAATCACCCCGAAATTATTTAATTTCCACAATATGATGTTCAGGTTATATAATTCACATATAATTATATAACCTGATTTCCAGGACATTCCACTCACTATGCGCACAACAAAACTGCATAAAACCTCACTGTTGAAATATTTTTTGTACCATACAAATGCAAAATAAAAAATAATAACAATAAAAAAAAAACAGCAAATTTATGTAAGATTCCTATAATACAGATTCAGATGCAGTCAAATGTGAAGAAGTATGATTATTTTCTGTCATCCATGCTGTTTGCAGCTGATCCTCTATCGTTCCAGCGTGTGTTTGATAGAGGCTCATCATGAAGCTGGAACAAAGGCAAATCAAATGACACCAAGCTGTTTCTGCTGATATGCAAATCCAGCTCATTTGGGTATCAAAGACTTGCCACGCTCTGCACATTTTCTTTATGGATAAATACTTTGATGGGCCTGCAGCAAAGAACCAGGTTTACATTGCATCCAAATGGGGAAGGTAAGATCTTCCACTGCAGTAAAGCGTTTAAAAAGCGACAGAAAAAAAAAATCATATACTCATGCTTTCCCCCTCGCAGATCACGTTTTTTGAGGAGAAGAAATTCCAGGGCCGCTGCTACAACTGCAGCAGCGACTGCGCCGACCTGCACACGCACTTCAGCCGCTGCAACTCCATCCGGGTGGAGAGCGGCGTGTGGGTGATCTACGAAAGGCCCAGCTACAAAGGTTTCCAGTACATCCTCAGCCCCGGGGAGTACGCCGACAGCCAGCAGTGGATGGCCTTCAGCGACAGCGTCAAATCCTGCCGTGCTGTGAAGAACGTGAGAGTCTGGATGCAAAAGATTCAGGAAACACTTAAGTTGAATTTAAGATTATCCCTGCAATGACCCTCTCTCTTATGTTTGTTTGTAGATTTATGGCAGTTCCTGGAAGCTGAGGCTCTATGAGAGACCAGATTTTGGAGGGCAGGCGGTGGACTGCTCTGACGACGTCGCCTCGGCGTATGATACCTACAAGATGCGCGAGGCCTACTCCTGTGTGGTGACAGACGGCGCCTGGGTGCTGTACGACCTCCCCAACTACAGGGGGCATCAGTACCTCCTGGAGAGGGGAGAATACCGGCAGCACGACGACTGGGGGGCGTCGTCTCCTGGCATTGGCTCCTTCCGTAGGATCACAGAGTTTTAAGTGATGGAAGCTTCTTCTAAATGCCTGCACAACCAATAAAATTAAAGCAAATCCTGACTTGTGTCTTCATTAGTTTATTAGAGTTATGGTCATTTGCATGAAAGTCATGAATATTTGAATGTATCTGGCGTTTAAGGATATAGTACAAAAATGTTCAAAAGGACTTTGGGGTCAAAGTCTGTTGTCCCAGTTACATTTATCCCAAAACCAGTTCTGATGTTGGGATGATTGATTGTCCAGGTTGTCGTCCATTTTCTACAAACCAATGCACTGCTAATTTCAGTCAAACTTGATAGCATTCATTTTGGAGCAGCACCTTTCTTGTCTTTACCCTCTATGTCTATGGCTATTATAAACTGATGCATCAGCATCTTCCAGGACATCCTGGAGTCATGGAATTTTCAACTCTGCTCCTCCAGACTAGCAGCAGCAGAAATTAGCAAACACCTGGAAGAACTGCTGATCTCATTATATGAACTCCTAAGGACGATTGTAAATGGCATAATCAAAACAGCATAATCAAGATTAAGTGCTGAAGGTGGAGTGTCTGACAGACAGAGATCCAGTGTCAAGGATTAAATTGCTAAGTAAATTTTCTTTTATGTTATGTTTGATATATATATATATATATA